GAAAACACGTGGCACAAGACCTGCTGTACCGACTGCAGACGCAGTACGGGGTCCCTGGGCACGAGCCCCTCACGACGATGCTGGATTTTGCGCAGTTCAAGGTGAAGTCGGGTCGGAGGGGTTCTTTGCCATTTTTTTTTTTTTGCAGGTGGGTCGAGTTCCGTTTCGCGTTTTAATTGTTCGGCGGGGATTTCCGCTCACGTCGCGTTCGAGTCGTGCGAGAATTTTTTTATCGTGCACGTTACAAATAGTTGACGTCGGTGTTTCGTTTCGAGGTGCGTGGGAGTGCAGGTGCGCAGAAAAATGCGGAGAATTTTTTTTGTTGTTGTTGTTCCCCCCTCCCCTTGCATTTACGGCTCGAATGCGAGGGGGCGTGAAGACGTGAAGCGGGGATGGATTCGTGACAAAGCTTCTTCGCCGAAGGAATTTTCGATCGGTATCTCCGTCCGTTCCGACGAAAAAAAAATATATAACCGTGAAAGTTTTCGCTTCGTCGGCGGAGAACCCGAGCGTTTCGTCGACGTCACCGTCGACGTCACCCACGTGAATGGCGCATCCCTCGCGTCAAGTTCTTCACCCTTTTTGTTTTTTTGCCCACTATTTTTTTTTTACCCTTTTTTTACCCCCGCCGACAGAGACGAGAGATCCTTGTGAAATTATTTGCAGAGGATGGAATGAGGATGGAATGAGGCCCATTAAAGCCCTCGCCGTCCTCTCGTCCCTCCCCCAACATCGATCCTCGTCGGCGAGGGCAAACACTCCGGGGCGGTCGAAGAGCGATCGGCGAGTTTTCATTTCGTCTTGTGAAAACACGGGCCCGGACGTCCGACGAACGACCGACGGACGTCGGACGAACGACCGACGGATGCGTTCGAGGTGCGGGATGGCGAATCGCGCGATTCGCTCGCGTCGTTGCATGCGATCGCTGCTCGTCGCAAGAGACGAATCCGACCTCGACCGGATCTCGTGGATTTGAGCGACCGGAAGTGCATTAGTTCTCTCGTCTCTTTCGTCATAGAGGCAGGGAAGCTGTCCGGTCGGGGAGGGAGGGTCGCCGATCGAAGGGAGGGAGGGTCGCCGATCGAAGGGAGGGTCGCCGACCGACAAACGAAGGACGAAAAGACGGCCAAAAGAAAAAAATCGCTCCGATTGCGTATTTGTTTAGCTGGATTAGCCGGTTTTGTTTCCACAACGGGAACCCCCTAAAGATGCCCCGCGAGTACAGATGGAATTACACCGGTGGCCGAATGACGTCACGAAATCCTCATTCATCTCCTCGTGACGTATCTCCGGGCGGTGTCTCAGCCGCACCGTCGGGTTCCATCGAGTGAAAGGCTTCGTCCGAACGACCAAATGTTCCCGTGAAACCGCGTCCCAGTTCCCTCGCCAGAGCCATCTACCGGCGACGGAAAGAAACGAGAGGCCTCGTCCGGTCTGTCGGCTGAACGTCTCGACGATTCGCCTCGTGGAAACGCTCCATCACCTCGAGTGCGACAGCTTGTTTTTGGAAACGTCTGGGACGCGTCTGGGTTTCTGGCTCGCGGTTAGAGTCGCCGATAAGGGAGGAAATGCCCGAGTCATTCCTCGTTGCCGGGAGCCGAATCGTAGCCGAGCCGCGGGGGGAATTCGCAACCTTTTATTCGGGCTTCTCCTTTCTTCGACCTTGCCGGTTTCTGCCTTTTAAAACGAGTCGAACCGCGAGGCAACGGTAGCGACCGATCTCGTATTTAAATTCGATGAATTTCTCGCAATCCGTCACCGATTAGAACGCCGAACCGAACCCGATCCGATCCAGTTCCAGTGCTGCGGGATGGACGGCCCGGGGGACTGGGAGGGATCCGCCTGGAAGAAGGAGGGACTGGGGGGATCGGGGATGCAGGTGCCTTACACCTGCTGCGCCCACGACCCCACCCCCATGGGATACCTCAACCCCATGCCCAAGAACGTCACCTTCTGCCAGAGCACGGACGCGGCCAAGTACTCGGTGTCCAGGTACCTCCAGGTGAGAGTTTGGGTACTTCGGGGCGAGCTGGGTGGCGGGGAGGGATGGATTTCTGCATTTCGGCGTTTTAGCGATTTTGGGAAAGCCGCGAATAATCCATTCGTTTTAAAATTCAATCTCATTCGACCTTCGATCTACTGGGACTCGGGGGTGCAAGAAAAACTGGCTACAGTTTTCTGCATTTACCGTTCTAAACTTTTAATTATAACAAACCTTTTTTTTCTGCAGACAAAAAAACATCGTGCATCATTAAATTCATATGGAAGTACTTCTCAGTGAGAGTCGTACGCTAGGCAAAATGCTAGACGCTATCGGCAAAGTACGTCTCTCCTCTCTCAAAATGTTTCGTACTCTTACAAATCCTATGATGTGAAGGCAAGAGAAAGTACTTTGCCTCTAGTGCGCAGCAATCTGCAGGGGGTACGACAGGCAGACACTGTATATACTGTCCTGTCTGTTTTATCAGTACTCATGCATTTCACAATCGCCGATTTTTCTGTGCGGCTCCAGAACATTTCAGATGATTTTCGCATACGAAACGCGCTCGCACTCCAAGCATCGGCCCTCGCCGACGAGAGCACCCTCGAGGGAGGATTTCACCTCCAGGCAGGCAATCGAAGCAATGACGAAGACGGTTTTGCTTACCTCGTGCACACAGGCGCTTCGTCGCCGGTGTTGCGAGGCGGAAATCCCGTTTCCTCAGACTCGTTAAGGTGGCCGAACCTCGGGAGTCCTTTCCTCGCGGGTTCTCTCTTCACTCCGCATCCTTTCCATGACAATGCGAAGGGACGAGCGGCCATCGATCACGGCCCTCGCTCGCCCTCGTCCTCCGCAATTCGTTCTTGGCGGCTTGGATCTGCAGTCGCTGGTCGCTCTCGTCAGGCTCGCTTAAAAAGTCTGTCGGATGTTCGTTATCGTTTTTCTGAGATTTCATCATGGGGTAGGCATTGATTGTGGGCCTGTTTTTTGTTTGTCATTAAATTATTTTATCTTGCATTTGTATATTTTAAATGTTTTTGGAAGAGCGACTTTTCTTCGTTTTCCCTTTGCTACCGATTATTTCGAGTTCATCCACGACTATTAACACGTTCGATACCAAATAAATATCCATCCCATATGACACTCAACACATTTCCCCCATTTCCTCGTATCGTGTTCCTCGTTTGCAGCCTGTACATTTCCTTCTGTCCCACACAGGGTTGCTTGATGAGGCTGGAGCGATGGTTCCACGAGCACAGCTCAATTTTCATCGGGATCGGGATCGGCGTCGCCTTGGTCGAGGTGGTCGGGCTCTTCATCGCCATCTGTCTCTGTCGCACCATCGTGGAGTGACGGCTAAAAGAATTTTTTTTTTAATCCGCTCAATGCGGTACAACGACTTCTCTTCCTCTCTTAAGATTTTTTTTTTATTTCTTACGCCTTCGCGCCTCGGGATGACTCAGTCGCCCCGAGTGGGCGACAAGAACCGGGAAAAAAAAAGTGGAATGACGTCACTTGTTATTATTCACAGTGAATAAACGGACAGGAAGAAAAAGTAATCATCCTCAATTCACTCGTTTCATTCCCGGTCTCCACCACCATCACCATCATCATGATTTAGTCGATGCATTCATCGAGCCATTAGAAGTCATTCATGAATGCTGGAATCTCTCGTCTCATCACGAGTGAGGGTGATGAGTCACGTGTGACGTCATCCCGTGGGAATCGTGCCGAGATTGCTATATTAAACCTTTCCCACATCGCAGGATGGACAATATTTCATCGCAGAAATGAGTTTTGCTTGGGTTTGTCTATCAGATGCTTTGCGATCAAGCTGTACCGAAACTTCTGGCATTTCTTTTCACTGGAGAAGTTACAGGGATATTCTAGGAGTGTTCCAGGAATGTCCCGGGGGGGAAATGTATGCAAAATCTCTCTCCGTTGACGCGTTCCAGGAAGTGTGTGACTTTGAATACACGTGTGAGAATTAATCGGTTTATGCACATGCCACTCATAGAAAGCCCTCATTGATGAGATCGAATGCGAATGGCTGCACGCACGAAGCTTCCTATAAATAATTTAATTCATTCACCGGGGAAGTGTAGTGTAACCCTCATTCATGAGGTCGGAGCGCGTGAACGATTCGAATATTTTGTAACGTCTATGACCAACTTTAGGCATGTAATGCTTTTTTCATTTCTGGGACATTTCGCGATACAGGCGAAGACAAGTTTGATTGCTGAAGGGCAGGGCCGTTTCTGGGGATGTTGGCGCCCAGGGCAAGAAGTTCCAATGGCGCCCCCCCCCCCCCTCCCCCTTTACCCCGCTGGCGCCCCGGGCGATCGCCCGCTTCGCCCGCCCCTCGAATCGGCCCTACGCCTATCTTAATCTCGGTCACGTCCCCCCCGCATGGAAGTCCGCTAACGTAACTTTGATACCCAAACCCAATAAAGATCCCTCAGATCCCTCTTCCTACCACCCCATCAGTCTTCTCAGCTCTCTTCAAAAACTCCTTGAAAGAATTCTAACCGCTCGACTATCTGGAATCTCTAAACCTTCTCACCTCTTGTCAATCAGGCTTTCGACCTAATTTAAGTACCACCGATCAGCTCGTTCGGCTCCACCACGACGCACTCGAGGCTGTCAACAGTAAAAAGCATCT